ACCTGTTCAATTGCTTGGTAACACAAATTGCTAATCAGCCAATCAAATGACAGCAACTCAATGCATTTAGACATCTAAACATGGTGAGGACGACTTGCTGAAGTTCAAAACAAGCGTCAGAATGGGGAAGAAAGGAGATTTAAGTGGGATGATTTTTGGTGCAAGATGGGCTGGTCTGAGTATTTCAAGAACTGCTGATCTACTGGGATTTTCACGCACAACCATCTCTAGGGTTTACATAGAATGGTTCGAAAAAGAGAAAATATCCAGTGAGCAGCAGTTGTGTGGATGAAAATTCCTTGTTGATGTCAGAGGAGAATGGGCAGACTGATTGCTGCGAGATTTACATGGTAGGGTCAGAATTTGTTATAAACAACATGAAAGCATGGATCCATCCTGCCTTGCATCAACGGTTCAGGCTGGTGTTGTAATAGTGTGGGGGAGATTTTCTTGGCACTAGCAAGGTGTACCTAATAAAGTGGCCTGTGAGTGTATACTCCAACACTGCTCAGAATTAAAGATTATACCTTCTTAGTGCTTTCTATAAAAGCATATATATTTATTAAACCATTAAAAAAACACTCACATAACGATGTGCACTGGTCTGATGCACTACAGGAATAAGGTTTGCACTGTCCCCAAAGGTGTAAATGGATGCCGCTTACTATATCTGGTCTAGCCTGCAAGGTTTGCACTGTCCCCTTAAGATGTGGATTGGCTCTGTTCAGTGTATTTGCCAAGCAAGCGAGCTTCCGCCAGGCTTCCCGTTGCTGCGTGCTTGCAACACCAGCTCCACCCCTTACGCGTTACGCCTCTTTCATGTGGCTTCATCAGAGGGCAGTTGGTGTTCTAATTCTTCCTAATTGTGTTCAGTAGGGTTAGGGCTCTGTGCAGGCCATCTGAGGTCCTCCACTCCACATCCTCAAACTGGGTCCATTAAGAAGCTGGCTTTGTGCACAGGGGAATATTTATCCTAGAACAGAGAAGGGCCTTCACCAAATCTTTGCCTGAAAGTTTGAAGGGCATACATTTCTAAAGTGTCTTTGTATGGTGTAACATTACCAGTACCTTTCACTGGAAGCACCTGAGTTTCATAATTTGGAGGTGGACCACAGGGCTTGTTTTATATGTAGTATATTTAATCCTTCTTCTCTGTTGGTGTTTGAAAAGACCCCAATTCTTTAGTTTGTTAGAAATTGCAAGAACATATTGTTAATAAACTTCTTTTTTTTCAGCAACTTGAAAATAGTTTGAATGAATTTGGAGAGAAGTGGGTGTTGAATCCTGGTGATGGAGCTTTCTATGGACCAAAGGTTGGTGTATTTATAAAAAACAAAAAACAGCATCAGTGTTGTGCTATGTTAGCCATCAACAAAAAATAGGAGTTTGGCTGTAGGGTGAAGCCATTTATTGAAAAAAGGGGGGGAGAGAACAATGTTCTTGGACAACTTGCCAGCCAGCTTGCTAACAACCCGAATTTCCCCCTTTTTTCACTATGTGATGCCTGTTTATGTGTCCTTGCTTCATAAGCCAGTTATAGACTTGGGCGGGTGGCCACTTTTATGCATGTTTGATTTTTTGGTACGTGGGTGCACTAGGACCCTGGTTGCCATTGTGCTACATGCTGGGGTCCAGTGCACCCCTTTGCCTTTAAGAGGGGTGGCTCCCTCAGGTCCACCTGCCCTTGATCTATCCATTAAATGCATGTGCCTCTACTATGGGGACTCACAAATTAGTTAGGACCACAGAGGATCAGGGTGTCGTGTCGTGGCTCTGTGGCTTACGTATGTATTTGCAAATGTGTGCTAACTAAACCCCTGTTATAAACGCATACTGTTAGACAGGTTAATTCGGTTGTTAGCAAGCTGGCTGGCAAGTTGTCCAAGAACATTGTTCTCTCCCCCTTTTTTCACTATGTGATGCCTGTTTATGTGTCCTTGCTAGATAAGCCAGTTATAGACTTGGGCGGGTGGCCACTTTTATGCATGAAGCCATTTATTGGCTAGCTAAATAGATTGTAGTGCAAGTTTTTAAGGCATTCTGGGCTCGAAAGCTTGCACTCATTCTAATTAGGCAATAAATGGCATCACCCTACAACTTCTACAAAAAAATACAAGAGAATTCAAAGGGTATAGAACAAGTGTATGTGTAAGGCAGGCCATACATTTAGCAATTTTCCTTTCTTCACCCATAGGTTGAAGGAAAGAAAATCGCTCGATCCCTTCAGTGCTGTTATGTTCTGCTGGTGGAAGCCTTCCCAACCGGCAGAATACAATGATTATTGCCGGCGTGTATAGCTGCCGACAGTGATCGCAAGAAAAAAACCCAACGGGCTGGTTGTGTTGAAGTTGATCGATAGATCAACTTCCGTATAACTAGCCTGGCGATTGATGGATCGAAATTTGTCTGGTTCCTGCTGAATCGGATGAATTTTGATTTGTCTATGACCAACTTGTAGTAGCAGGTAAACAATTTTATTTGCAGGTGAAGTACATGTTATTGCTGTCACCAAATGATTAATTACAGGTACATTCAAAGAAGTCATATTACTTCTGCAAGCGGATCCTGTGGGGCCATAGCTATACAGGAAAGGATCAGATTTTACATGTCATGGTGGTAAATGTAGACAAAGCAGATTTAAAAGTAGAAAGGAACCAGTCATCCATTGAGCATCTGTAGTGATATGAATCTAATTTCTAGTGAATGTGAATTGTGAACTTCCACGCTACCTACTCCTTGTGTTGTGAAGTGAATACAACTATGTAATCTATATAGAATAAAAGTAGAATAATATGTCAAAAAGTAAGTGAAACAAGTATCATGTAACATGTAAGGGTGCTGCTCACATTTACATGCATTCCCGCACACACACCATGCAGATATAATCCAATGAATATGTGGCACTCCCTATATGCATAGAAATCCCTTATATCACAACAGGCATAAATATCATAAACCTATAAATCCCACACTTCAATAATCTGTGCATAGCAACATGAATTCCAAAAGTGACCACAATTTCTTTCCACTCTTGTGATAATGGTCCAAAGCATAAATCGATGTGTGAGTCCCAATGTATATCTTCCTCCAATCCATGCTCAACAGAATCACATTCCACATCGACATGCAAGTGGGTCCCACCACCTTTCCTTCAGCCTGGGTTCACACTGATGCGGTGTGGCATATCGCATGTGATTCGTACAGGAACCAGACCGCATTCTTGAGCAAATCACATGCAAATTCTGTGCGGTGCAAGTTGAGCCATACATTTTGTATGGCTCAAATCGCACTGCATCTGCACCAAAAAAGTGCAGGACCCTTTTTTTAGTCCGCATCAGAATCTGATCGCATGGGTGTTCACATCCTTGTGCTCCAATTCTGCACATCACACCGCGTATTGCGAACTGATTTCAGGGTGTCGTTAACCTAAAACACAGACCCGCAGTAGTTCGTATGAACAGGGTGCGATTATGATGTGGTGTGGAAATAGTACAGAAACCAGTGTGAATTCCCACCGCATCAGTGTGAACCCAGGCTCAATGTGCTCACCTTAAGGTGTGGACCTATAAGAAATGTTAGTAGGTCTAAATGGGTGTTTTACCCTCAGGGGGTATGGATGTACTCTTGGCTGCATTCCTGCTTTGCCTTCAGAACGATCCTCTCCTTTCTGTATATACCTGGTTGACGTCCCTTTAAGAGGTCGCTGGCCTGTCCCTTCTCTGCTGCCCATATTCTCAGAAACATATAGGATTGCCTCTCGTAGTGTAGCATATTACATGCCAAATGTTTATTACAAGTATTTCACTTACAGAAAATATTACTTTAAATCACCACTGTGCAGCCACGATCCAGCTCTCCTGCGGCCTCCGCGGCCTGTCACGTGTTACATCACATGAATCTAATTTCCTGAATTAATTTGGCAGTTCAGCTTTGCTTCTCAGAGAATACCTAATTTGTTTACTATTTCTTTGTATTCACTCCCTGTCGGACTGTAGTGCCAACTGTCTCCTGTCTGAATTCAGTGCTGATAAAGGACAGATAAAATGTCATATAATGTACAGTGGCTAAATGGTTAGCATGTCTGCCTAGCAGTACTAGGATCGTTAGTTCGAATCCCAACCACGGCACCACTGCCTGGAGTTTGCATGTTCTCCCTGTGCCTGTGTGGGTTTCCTCTGGGTACTCCGGTTTCCTCACACACTCCAAAGACATGCTGGTAGGTTAATTATATCCTGTCTAAATTGGCCGTAGTATGTGTATGTATGAATGTGAATTAGGGACCTTAGATTGTACTCCCCTTGAGGGTCAGGGACTGATGTGAATGTAGAATATATATGTAAATCTGCGTAACTGACGGTGCTATATAAGTACCTGTAATAAATTAAATGTTTTGCCAGGACTACATGACCCTCCTCCATCAGTCCAGAGAGTATGTCAAGTTTCAGCCCTGAGATCAGGTGGTAGCTGGTTATAACCTTCATGTGAGTCTTACAGTCTGCCTGCTGCTCTGACAAGGGGAGAATACAAGTGTCTATCTGCATGCACACAACCCGAGAGAAGTACAGCTGCATCATAATAAAAACTAAAAAATACATTTGAGATATCCATAACCATAGCAAGGTTGCAAAAAAAAAACCTATTGTCCTCCTTTAAATGGCATTAACTTTTTTTTTTTTTTGCTCACTAGATTGATATTGAGATTAAAGATGCCATCGGTCGTTACCATCAATGTGCCACAATTCAGTTGGACTTCCAGCTCCCCATTAGGTTCAATCTGACCTATGTCAGGTAAGTGGAGCGCTCATGAATGGGGGGCAGTGTGTACAGTTCATAGTTTTCCTGTTTTCTCACATCTTCACCGGTTTCATCTCCTCAGCCCTGATGGCGATGATAAGAAGAGGCCGGTTATCATTCACCGCGCTATTCTTGGATCTGTAGAGCGCATGATTGCTATTCTGACAGAGAACTATGGAGGAAAATGGTAATTGTTTTACTGTAGAGTATAGATATAGATTTAATATGTTCATTCAAAAAACAGCAAATAATGGATAAATGGAAAACCTGGACCCTTCTTAATTTGTTCTAGAATAGATAGGGGAGAACCTGTGCAATGAGCACACAGACGGCATGAAGAACCCATCAGAGGTTCTAACTCTTCCACACACTGTACAAAACTAAATCTTCTGTTGTAGAATGTCAAAGTTTGAGAAGTTAAATATAGACAATTTTTAGATTAGTTGTATTGATTGATTAATTGAACAAATTGATCCTTTGTCATTGCTTGTCAGTGATCATGCTTATGTGGGTTCTAGCAATTACACCCTTGCAGTTACAACCCACAGTGCACCCTTCCCCGTGTCCTTAGGAACCTGTGACTTCCAACACAGGTACTGCAATAACAAAACCAAATTCCAGCTGAACACTGGTGAGGTTTGTATTAAAGGTTTAGGTCAGGGGCCACTCCAGAAGATTTACCCCCCCCCCCCTTCATGACCAGGCCATTTTTCGCTATGCGGCGGTGCGCTACTTTAACTGACAATTGCGCAGTCATTCAACACTGTACCCAAACAAAACATATATCCTTTTTTTTCACACAAATAGAGTTGCTTGGTGATATTTGATCACCTCTGGGCTTTTTAATTTTTATTATATAAAAGAAAAAAATATTTTTTACTTTTTGCCATAAAACACCCCATAAAAAAAAAGGAAAAAAAATCAAATCTCAGAATAGGTTTTGTCTAAAATGTATTCTGTTACATGTTTTCGGTAAAAAAAAAAAAAATCCCAATAAGTGTATATTGATATGTTTGTGTGAAAGTTTCAGCATCTACAAACTATAGCATATATAATGGGATTTGTATTTATTTTTATACTAGTAGTGGCGGCAGTCAGCGACTTATGCTGGGACTGTGACACTCCAGCGGTCAATCTGACACAAACTGATGCTGGGGGGAACTAACTGCCACTGACATCACCAGTGCCATTTATTAAAGAGATCAGTGCTAATAATATGCCCTGTCACTGTACTAATAACATTGGGCAGGAAGGGGTTAACATCTAGGGCGATCAGGGGGTTTATATATGTGCCTAACATGTGTTTTGTGTGTACTGTGGATCTAGTTGTTTTTATTCCCTGCTTAGCAGGGAATGAAAAATCAACTAAATCGCCTGTCAATGAACACAGCTCTGTGGACAGAGCTGTGTTCTATGAGTCTCAGAGCTGATCAGTGGGTGCCGGTGGCCAATCACCTGTCGGCACATGGAGATTGACATGTGTTGTGATGAATTGCAACACAGCCGGACAGGCACGTGCCCCCTACCCAGAAATACAGAGTCATGTGTATTCCTAGATTGTAAGCTCCAAGGAGCAGGGCCCTCCTATCCCTCTTGTATTGAACTGTATTGTCTCCCGTTATATTGTAAAGCACTGAGCAAACTGTTGGCGCTATAATAAATCCTGTGTAATAATAATAATATATACAGGTGAAACTCAAAAAATGAGAATATCGTGCAAAAGTTCATTTATTTCAGTAATGCAACTTAAAAGGAGAAACTAATATATGAGATAGACTCATTACATGCAAAGCAAGATAGTTCAAGCTGTGATTTGTCATAATTGTGATGATTATGGTTTACAGCTCATGAAAACCCCAAATCCACAATCTCAGAAAATGAGATTGTGAAAAGGTGCAATATTCTCGGCTCAAAGTGTCCCACTCTAATCAGCTAATTAAGCCATAACACCTGCAAAGGGTTCCTGAGCCTTTAAACGGTCTCTCAGTCTGGTTCAGTAGGAATCACAATCATGGGATAGACTGCTGACCTGACAGTTGTGCAGAAAACCATCATTGACACCCTCCATAAGGAGGGAAAGCCTCAAAAGGTAATTGCAAAAGAAGTATGATGTTCCCAAACTGCTGCATCAAAGCACATTAATAGAAAGTTATGTGGAAGGGAAAAGTGTGGAAGAAAAAGGTGCACAAGCAGCAGGGATGACCACAGCCTGGAGAGGATTGTCAGGAAAAGGCCATTAAAAAGTGTTGGGGACTTTCACAAGGAGTGAACTGAGGCTGGAGTCAGTGCATCAAGAGCCACCACACACAGATGGATCCTGGACATGGGCTTCAAATGTCGTATTCCTCTTGTCAAGCCGCTTCTGAACAACAAAACAACATCAGAAGCGTCTTACCTGGGCTAAAGTAAAACAGATCTGGTCTGTTGCTCAGTGGTCCAAAGTCCTCTTTTCTGATGAGAGCAACTTTTGCATCTCATTTGGAAATCAAGGACCCAGAGAATGGAGGAAGAATGGAGAGGCACACACTGCAAGATGCTTGAAGTCCAGTGTGAAGTTTCCACAGTCTGTGTTGATTTGGGGAGCCATGTCATCTGCTGGTGTTGGTCCACTGTGCTTCATTAAGTCCATATATGCACCATAATCGTGCCAGCCGATCACAATGGCATAAGACAAGTCACCCTGAAGAATATGGGGAGATGGGGACCTCGAAGGCGTTGGAAGTCTAGGGGGAAGAGGAAAAGGCTTGCAATATTTATTTTCCTTGCTCGGGCATGCTTCCTCCACACTGTGTGACCAGTTCCCCAAATCTTCATTTCTAAGATGCTTTGGCCAGTGGTTGCTGTCTGACATCATCACGTAATAATAAAGAACCAATGGCCTTGTGTAGCAGGTATGCAAGGATGGCCCCCAACCCAGGGCGTCAGAGAAGAGAGGGCCAGCAGTTGGGGGAGCAAGGAGTAAGGTAAGTTTTGAAACGTATTCCTCTGCCCCTAGATTTAACAAGTATTTAACCCTTGCAAGGAGAGGGGGGTGTTGTGTGATTCCAGGACTTCAGCCGTGCTCCTCACTGGAATTCACCTTAAAATAATTTCAGATCTATTTAAATATACTTACAGATGACATTCTGGTATTCCTGACTACGGAGTCAGTGTGCGTTGTGTATTTGCACTCAGCCACTTCAGGAAGATAATAAGCCTGTTTGTATTCTGATGGCCACATCCGCACAGCCCCGCTAATCTGTTGTGATCTCTTCCCACAGGCCTCTGTGGCTTTCTCCGCAGCAAGTGATGGTGGTGCCTGTGGGGCCGACATGTGAGGAGTACGCACAAAAGGTCATTTCAAGAACTTTTCACTTTTTTTTTTTTTTTTTTTTTTTAATGAATACAGTGTTTATACTTTCACAGAGTAATTCCAGTTTATTTTTATTGCAGTATTATATAATTGCGAATTATATTATGAATGCCCTGTGTATATCATATCATATATGTCATCTGAGATACAAAGTGCCCCTGGTCTCCAGGCAGCTATCTGGTCTTTTTAGCATGAGAGGGTTTAATAGGCAGGAAACCTAAGGTGACCCATCAGCGCTTTTATTGTCCTCCATTAACCACTGTAGTGACAGCAGCTGTTCTATGGTGTTATCTGCATTTACCAGCCACAGGAACATAAATTGCCGGGGAGAATGTCAATACGTTTCAAAAGGAACGGCCTTATAGAGAAAATGTGAAATGTCCAGGCATGACCCAAAATTATCCTCTGACCTCCCCCTGAAGAGCGTGTCCCTGCATTATTCTATTCTGTTTACTTCGCTCTAGCTTGAAACATTTTATTATTCTTTGACATCATCACCAGGCTTGTAAAGTTCTTGCAGGGCTGTTAATAGTAGCTCCGTTCTATTCCCCTACTTAGTGGGGTTGATTTACCAAAACTGGTGCAATTCTGTGTAGAAACCAATCGGCTTCCAGTTTTTTTTTTTTTGTCAAAGCTTAATTGAAAAGGCTGAAGTTAGAAGCTGATTGGCTACCATGCACAGCTGCACCAGATTTTGCACTCTCCGGTTTTAGTAGATCATCCCCAGTGTGTGGACAGGCTTTTGGTAGTCAAAGCAGCAGTATGGCTTTGCTGGAAAAGAATCAATGTACTCATGTGGACAGGGATAGGCAGAGCTCTGTAGTCCACCAGAAATGCCGGGAAACACTGGTTGAGAGTTAAGTGCAGCAAAGACATTGTGTTGTTAGCCCCAATAGGATGCTAGGAGCACATTGAATTTCTGGCAGGACTGCAGCATTTTATTTATCACAGGCATTTATATAGTGCTGACAATTTATGCAGTGCTTCACATATTGTACATTCGCATCAGTCCTTGCCCTCTATCTAAGGTCCCACATATCATGTATACTGTACCTACTAATACTAGGGCCATTTTAGACAGGAACCAATTATCCATCTGGATGTCATTGGAGTGAGGAAGGAAGCCAGGAGAAAACCCATGCAAGCATAGGGAGAACATGCAAACTCCATGCAAATAGTGTGCTGGCTGGGACATGAACTAAAGACCTAGCTAAACCAATAAGCCATTGTGCTGCCCCACAGTACTTTGACTTAAAGTGTTACTAAACCCCAGACTCTGCATTCACCATATCTGGTCTCCCACAGTACACACAAACACGGAAATGCAATTATTTTAGTAAATAGAAACTGCTAAATACCTTTTCTCATCAGCAGTTAGAGTAGTCTTGTGACTTCAGCCGAGCACTGGTTAAAGCTTGTAGCAGGAGTTTTCTTTTTGCTCTAGGAGGATGTAGGGACCCTGACCTCTGTCTTTACAGTGCTGATTGGCCCTGTGCTGATCACATGCCACTCTCCCAAGCAAAAAAAAAAAAAAACCTCTCTAGCAATACACACCAAAGTGAGCATGTGCAGAGGGCTTACTGGTTCAGTCTGTCTTATCAGTGTGGACATTTGAACAAGAGGAGGGCACAGAGCGGTCAGGATCA